GGCAGCCCCCCCGGCGCGGCACTGGCCCCATTGGCGCGGCACGGGCCCCGGCATGCGCCGACATGCGCCTGTTTCTTCGGGTCTCGCAGGGACCACCCATAGGCCTCCTAGATGGGGTCCGAGTAGACGGGGTCGGAGGATGGCGCCGCATGGCCGATGCATCGGTAATGCATCGGCGCCGCTGGCGTGGAGAAAATCGGGCTCAACATCGAGCCGCATCGGCGATGCATCGGCGATGCATCGGCGATGCATCGGCGATGCATCGGCGATGCAGCGCGTTCGTCAGACCCCATCTCTGGACCCTTCTGGGAAGCCTAGACCACAATCTAAACGCTTCGCTTCGACTATGGACAAGGCACTGCGGCTTCGGGTCAACTGGTCGACCGTCCGCGAGAAGTTCGCGAACCGTGGGAAAGGAAAAGGTGCCCCGATCAAGGGGAAGGGCAAGGACTATTGGGCTGACGGCACCTCTTGGCAGGCGAACCAGGGAGCAACAAGTCGTGCCGCGAGCGCGCACCAATCCTGGACGCGGCAGTAGACCCCTTGCCACACACCGCCGTCTCTACAGCGTCCCGTTCGCACCAGCGGGTTCCTCACTATCCCCTGGACACGCGACTGTCAGTCACCTCTGCCAGGGTTGCCCGCCTTCACACCCAGCCGCCGCTGCTTTCCCCTCCCGTGAGCGCCAGCCCCCTGCCGCGCCACTCGCCGACGGACCCGAGCTCGGGTTTCCTTCCACTTCGCCCACCCAGGCCCCCTGGGGGGCCACCCTGGCTTCGTGCCCAATACCACCTGGGGCGCGCCCAGCTGGGGTTGGTGGCACGCCCCCGGCCCCCAGGAGGCCCTTACTCCTGGGCCCTTTTCGGGCCCTTCGCCCCGTGGCGCTGCGCCGCCCCCCACGGCCCCGCCTCAGGCGCCGCCCTGGGGTCCTCGGCGGTCCTCCCTCGCCTCCGGCTGGGAAGTCACTGGAGCGCCTGCTACGTCTCATCGCTGCGTCAATTCTCCATGGCGCGTGCCCAGTCGCCTGGCCCTTTCCGCTCGCTTGGGTCCCTCCTGCGTCGTTCAGCAACCTGGCTCTCCGCGGGTCGTCGTTGGCTTGGCGGGCACTGCTGTCCTGGCTCAGTCCTAGCGTGAGAGGCCGACGGGAACCCCCCCTGGTCCGAAACGCTGACGTCGGGCCGCCCGCCGTCAGTTCCTGCCACTCACATCTTGCGACCGTTCGTCGCGTTCGCCGCTTCTGTCCTCCGCGCTCTGCTCTCTTTCTCTCTCTTTCTCTCTCTCTCTCTCTCTCTCTCTATCTCTCTCTCTCTCTCTCTCTCTCTCTCTCTCTATATATATATATATATATATATACCAAACACTGCGATCGTTAGTCGCTTTCCACTCACACGTCTCCCCCACCACGCGGGCGACCACCCTGTTGGCCGTTTTGGCTTCGCGCCCAACACCGCCCGGCGAGCACCCAGCTGGGGACGCCGGCTCTCCTCTGGCCCCCCAGCTCGCCCTCGCGATGGGCTGCTTGCGGCCCTGCGCCCCCCAGCACCGAGTCGCCCCCCCCTGCACCCGCCCTAGGCGCTGCACCAGGGCCCCACGGCCCCCCTCCGCCGCAAGACCGCCGAGAGACCGCCGAGGGGCCCAGCCGCCGCGCTCCGCTTTTGGCGTGGCTTTGGGGCCTACAAACCGGGCGGCCGCTGGTCGCTCTCTCGCCTTCTCCGCTCACAGGCTTCGCGCGCGAGGCCGCAGGGACACCCCCTCGGCCCAGGGCGCTGGTCGGCCCCGCCTTGGCTCCTCCCCTCACGGGGCTATGGCGGGCGCCCCTACTCGCGGCGAGGGGCCTCGGCCCTCTGGCGGCGTCAGCGCGAGCTGCTGCCGCCCCCGCCGCGGTTCCCACTGCCGCTGGCGTCCTCGATGCCGCGGCCGCCGCCTGCGCCGCCGGTGCTCGATTGCCGTGGCGACTGCCGCCGCCGCGGTGGCTCCACTGCCGCGCGCGGCATGGCGCCGCTGATCACCTGGCTTTCCGTGCGCGCCGCCGGCACCTCCGTCGCGGTGGGCACCGCCCGCGCCGCCTGCACCGTGGCGCCGCGGCCGCGGCTGGCGCTGCGCGCACCGCTTCCTCGCTGTCGCGCCGCGCATCGCCGCGGCCGCCGCCGCTGTCGCTGTCGGCACCGCTGCCGCCGCCGCCGCCGACCCCCCTTCGGCGCCGCGGCCGGCGTCGCGGCGGCACTGCCTCAGCGTGCGAGGCCGCAGGGCAGCCCCCTTGGCCCGTCGCGCTCGGGTCAGCGTTCCCCCCCATGGGGGTTTTCCTCCCGGTGGGGCCCCAACGCTTCTCGCTGACTGGTGCTCCGCACCTCGCGGTCTCTCCTGGCCTGCGGCCGTCTCCTGCTCCCCCTTCTGCCGCCGACCCAGACCTTGCGCGTGATGCCGCTGGGGAACCCCCCCGGCCCACGGCGCCGGTCTGCGGGCCTCCTCCTCCGCTGGGGCCCCCCTGGCCGTCCCGGCGGTCTGCCAGCTGCCCCCCCCCCCCTCGGGGATCTCTCTGGCCTTCCGGGGGCCTGCGCCTCGCATATCCCGCCTGCCGCCTCCCTCTTCCCGCGCGGGGTCGACGGACACCCGGGCCTCCCCCTCGCCGCCCCCTCCGTGGGTCGTGCTTCGGGCCCCTGGGCGTCTGCTGGCCGCCGCCTCTCCAGCCGTTCCGCCGTTCCCCTGCTTCCGACCGTCCGGCCCCCCTCCGCCTCGCAGCTCGGTCGGGGCTTCCGCATCGCTGCCCCTCGGCACCTCTCGATGTCTGGCGATCCGGACTTTCCGTTGAGCGCCCGCACGCCCTGCCCCTTTCCGTGTCAAGGGGCGCCGTCCTGCGATGCGTCCTGGCTTCGTCCACGGCGTGCTGTTCGTCTTGCCGGCGGTCTTCTTCATCTGGGTCGTGGGCTTCCTGAATTACCTCCTGGTGTTGCACGTCGCCCAGAAGTACCTCCTGGTGCCTGCGCTCCTATGAGCGGCAGTGAGGCGCGCCTCCAGTTTGTCTCTGCTGCTCGTTCTTGTTCTTTGCTTTTAGCCTTCCTCGTCCGCTGCGCTAATTTCGGTCGTTGCTCGTGTGCAATATCCTGGACGCCGCCCGACTTTTCCTCGCCGCGGTCGCGATCAAAAAGTAACCCCACCAGCCCATCCAGAAACGATGCCCAAAGGAATTGCCTCGATCAGGGAAGCGGGCAGCACACAGAGGAAGGGTTTCCCAGTGGAGGCCTCTTGGAGCGATTTGGGGGCCTCTTGACGGTATTGGACGCCTCTTAGAGCGTCTTGGGTGCCTTGGAGAGCTTCTTGGGGCCACTTGGGGGTTTCTTGGGAGCCTCGTGGAGGCCTCTTGGGCGCCTGTTGGGGCCTCCTGGGGCATCCTGGGCGCCTCTTGGGGCCCACTTGAAGCGCTCTCGGGAGCCTTGGGAGCGCTCTTGGGGCCATCTTGGAGGACATCGATCAAACAAGAGGGGAGCATAAATTAGCGTTGCCCCTCAGGAGCCCAAAAAGTCGCCTCGCGGAGCGCTCTTGGGCGCTCTTGGAGCCGTCTTGGAGCTCTCTTGAGCCTCTCTTGGAACCCTCTTGGGCCATCTTGGAGCCATCTTGAGGCCTCGGATGGCCATCGGAAGCGAAAAGGCGAGAAAGCCAAAAACACTGATTTCCACAAGGTTTTGGAAGGATTGTGGCCTCTTCGGGGCCTCCTGGGGGAGCTCTTTGGCCACTTGGAGCCGCCTTGGAGCGGTCTTGGGGCCTCTTGGAGCATCGTGGGGGTCATCTTGAGGCAGCTTGGGATATCTTGAGCCATTTTGGAGGTCATCTTGGGCTTTCCCAGGCGCTCGTGGAATCATCTTAATCAGTGCCCCCCCCCCAGGAGGCCAAAATGCAGCTAAAAAACTGAATAAAATCAATGAGTTTGGCATTCTCGCCGAGGCCTCTTGGAGCGTAGTGGGTGCCTCTGGGGGGCCTCTCGGGGCCTCTTGGGGGTCTCTTGGGGGCCTCTTGGGGGCATCCTGAGGGCCCCTTAGGGGCCTCTTGGGGCCTCCTGGCCACCTCTTGGGGATCTCTTGGGGCACCCTTGGGAGCCTTGGAAGCGCTCTTGGGGCCATTTCGGAGGAGATCGATCAAAGACGGGAGGGCCCTAATTTCCCCCCCCACCACACCAGGAGGCCAAAATGGGGCCAAAATATTAGTTAAACCAATAATTTAGGCTTCCTCGCCGAGGCCGTTTTAGGGGGAGGGGTCAAGACACCTTCTCCGCACGCAAGCCGTCTAGCTCACTCCCACCCGCACTCCCACCACATAAGTGGCATCCGAGTCTCGGCATAGCCAGGGGTCGCCACTGGATGGACAGCCAGTGGGAACCAAAGCGGACGCCAGGTGCGCGACGCTCGCCGCGAGCTCCACATGCGGTTGGTGTGCCATCCTTGTAAAAAACGTGATGCCCCCCCGTCCGCATGGTCCAGATGCTGATGTGGGGAGCGTCAGCATTGTTCTGTGCCTGCGCACAGCAAGCATCAGCATGCGGGTACCACCGCCGTCCCTGTCAAAAAACCATATACAGTGATCGCGGGTGGCCAGCACAATACCCACGACGTTGTCGCAACGTGCACTTTGCTTTGTTTTTGACACGGGTGGGGGAGGGGGTGTTTGTTAATAGGGAACAATGATGAGCCCCTCCCCGAAGGGGAAGAGGGAGGGGTGGAAGAGGAAGCTCCCTAAAGCACCTTACGCCCTGAAGGGCTGATGGGACTAGGTGGGGATGTGGTGTTGTTCCTTCGGGCCTCGCAGGACCCATCCCCACCCTGGGGCGATGGGCTGGTGGGGCCGGGACGCCATGGCCCAGTTGGGGTGGGGGCACGGCCGGCTCTGGGTCGCCGAGGGCGTTCAACGTTGAACCCCAGCGGCAGGGTCGCCGCTAGTCGACACGACGCGAAACTACCGTAGGTTCGACCGTGCCGACCGCCAGCGACCCCGCCCTCGCGCGCGCGCGCCTGCCCGTGCAGGTCCACCAGCAGCAGCGCCCCGTCGTCCAGCGACACCGCCGCCAGCGCCCCCTTGGTGCTGGCCCCGGCCGCGCGCCGCCGACGCCGCCGCCAGACGACGATCGATCGAGGATCGACCTAGAAAAACCCCCTTCAGGGATCGAGATCGAGGATCGGCTGGCGATCGAGGATCGAGAATCGACGAATTCTGCCTCTGGGGGCCGCTTCCGGGCGCGCAGGACTTTTAAACTGCCCACGGGGGAAGAGGTCGAGCGTTCTGGGGCGAGTCACCGAAGTCGCCTTCGAGAATCGAGGCTCGAGGCTCGAGGATCCAAGTTTTAAGCTGTACTTCGCTATTTTTGGGTCTCTGGGATGCATCGGTCGCGACGGCTAGATTACACTCGAAATCCTGGCCGGAACGCCCGCAGGAGAGTTTCAGGGACCGACATTGAAGTGGAATCGACCACGATGACGACGACGACGACGACGACGACGACAACGGCGACGACGACGACCGACGAAAACCACACTTAAGTATCTGCCCCTGGATCTCTCACAGGACGCGTTCTGACAAGAATATCACCAGCCTTCTGGGCGTAGATAGTTTGAGGAGCTCCTATCAATATCCTTTTTCCTCTCCAGGGACGGGTTTACCACTGCGCCTTATCAGTAGACACCCGTTCCCCAACTCTGCTGGCCCCCACCAGAGCCAACTCCGCCGCCCCCGCACGATATCTGTCAAAACACTGTAAAAGATTAGCCAGCTGGACCCCGAACAGTGTGTTTCTAGCAATACATGCTGTGCCTATGTGGCGCAATCTATGTGGCGCACTATATGTTGTGCACTTCAGGTTGTGCAACACATGTTGTGCAATCAATGTGGTGCAATCGAAGCGGTTCAATAAATTCTTTGTAAGCTATGTGGTGAAGTCTTAGTGGCGCATCCTATGTTGTGCACTCTACGTTGCGAAATATAAGTGGCGCAATCTAGGTGGTGCCATCTGTGCGGTGCAATATGATTTGTTGTGCACTCTAGGTGGTGCAACGTACGCTGTGCATTCCATGTAATGCAATCTATACGGTGCAAATTTTTGTTGTTCGTAGTGCGTTACCAACTCCGCTGCTCGCGCAAGCATCCCACCCACCCACCCACGATTTGGTTTGCAAAACCATGAGGCGGCCATTGTGATGCCTGGTTGGCGCACCGCTGCGGCCGCGCAAACGCCCGCAGGCTCGCGCGCAGAGCGGCCAGCTAGTCTGGCGCGACCGACGAGGCCGCGGTGGCGCTGACCGCTGGGGACTTCCCAGCGCGTTTAACAGGCCGCACTGACGCACGGGCACCTCAGTGCGAATCGACGGCGACGCCTACAGCGACGACTGCAGCGACGACTGCAGCGACGACAATGATCGTAACGACGACTGACTGTAGCGACGACAACGACGACTGCAACGAAGACGACGACGACAACTGCAACGACGACTGCAACGACGATTGAAATAGCAACGACGATTGAAATAGTAACGGCGACGACGACGACGACGACGACGACGACGATCACGACGATAGCGTCGATGACGACGACCACGACGACGACGACGTGTGCATCGACGACTGCAACGACGATTGCAAAGATAACGACGACGGCGACGACGGCGGCGGCGACGATGACGATGACGATGAAGATGACGACGACGGTGACGGCGACGACGACGACGACGACGACGATTGCAACGACGACTGCAACGACGATTGAAGTAGTAACGGCGGCGACGACGACGACGACGACGGCGGCGACGGCGACGGCGACGGTGACCGCGATGGCGACGGCGACGGCGATGGCGACGGCGACGACTGCAGCGACGACCACAAAGACGACGATGACCGCAAAGACGGTTGAGAAGACGACAACAACGACTGCAACGAACACGAAGACTAAGACGACGACGACGAGGACAACGCCGACGCCTGCAACGACGGCCACAACGACAATTGAAATACGAATGACAACAAAGACGACGACGGCGACGATGACGGCGACGGGTACGACGACGGCTGCAAAGACGACTGAACGACGATGGTAGTAGTAACGAAGACGACGACAACTGCAACGACGATTGAAATAGTAACGGCGACGACGGCGACGTCGTCGACGCCGACGCTGGCGACGGCGACGGCGACAACGACCACTGCAGCGACGACCGCAAAAACGACGTCCGCAACTACGACCACAAAGACGACAACGACGACTGCAATGAAGACGACAACGACGACGACGACGACGACGAAGACGACGACGGCGACGGCGGCGACGGCGACGCCGGCGGCGACGGCGACGGCGACGGCGACGGCGACGACGGTAACGACTGCAAAGACGGCTGCAACAACGACGCCGACCGTGACGACGACGATAACAAAGACAACGACAACGACGTTGACTGTAATGACGACTGCAACAAAGACGCCGTTGATGACGTCAACGACGATATAAAAGATGCGAGAACACCACGCTGACTAATGACGTAGATGCTCACTTGATATATCCCAAACTCACTGGTGAGCAGCAGGTAGGCGATGACGTTGACACATCATATTGCCTGGTTCAGTCAACAGTTCATCTTTGTCACACCGCCGAATAGTCAGAGCCACCTCACAAGCGGCCTGGAGCATGCGGACGCGGTCGCCACGGTGCGCAGCCTGTGAACAGCACACCCATCCCGACTTCGAGGTCACACGAGGGACTGACGTCCAGAGCCCCGAGTCAAGTGCGAGTCGTTGGTGGATCCAGGAACGTTGTCGGCGTAAGCGAGGGCGCCCTCCCCAAACATGACGGAACGATGGCACCAAACGTTCGCATGTTTTGCACGGGTGGCCCGTGCGTCGCCTGGTCGATGACGCAGAAGCCCCACTCCGGTAGATCGAGAGCAGCGCACGGCTCAACTCCTCCAGGGAAGCCATCCAGTTTACAAACTGCCTTGTGCGAACCTAGGTCCACGTCGACGCCGTCAATCTCCTCCGCATCGTGGCGCCCACGATGCACAATCTGCAGACATCTGACTCGTGCTATGACACGCATGGCATGTAAGGCAGCATCGCTCGAGGTCCAGAACCTCCACCTGTCGTCAACCAGGTGCCCCACCGCCTCGTGTACTCGACGATCGTCTGCTGGTTCCACTTCAAGGAGCAGGCTCTGTTGGCCACTGTATCGGACGTACTTCAATCCAAGAGCCCGGCGTGATAAGTCATGCTCGTCTCCAAAAAACTGGACCACGTAAGCTTCACATCTATCACATTCCTAATCGCAAAGATCGCGCTCGACTAGACTGGATACAAGAAGACATTCTGGCACCACCACCCGCCCAGGCACCACCATGAACAGCTGGTCCGCCACGCCAACTTGGCCAACATCTTGTCCGTCGCAGCGGGCGGCGGCACCACGAGTGGGGGCGCCCACAACCACAGCGGCCTTAGATCCTTAGATATTCCATCGCCAACTTCAGCCTGACCTGGTTTGACCCAGGGATCAATGCCAGGACTGAAATACCATGGATAGGCGTCTGCCATCCTCCTCGAGGTAGAATAGGATGCACTGGGTTGGTCGGGTAGCATTCAACACCCAGATGTTCGATCAGCCTCGACTCTGCGTCTTGATCAGACCAAACCTGACGTTTGGCCGCGTCCCCCTGGTACTCGATGCTCGCGTCGAACCTCTGGGTGGTCTACAAATCATCTCTCAGTAGCTCAGGACTCTGCGCCACGAGGGGCCTGTCGCCCATGAACAGGCGGTCATTGCATAGCGGCGGCCATGGAACCAGCGCGGCTATCACTGCAGACGGCGCCGCTGAATCTCCTTGCGGGAAGCCGCAAAGCGGCCGGATGGGCTCTGCGAGTTCCCCTTGCATGCTGCGCACCCTTGGCCCTGACCAACCCGCCAGACAGGTGTGCGCTACTGCGTCGGGTAATCCAGGTCGGCCCAACGATTCACATGCAATCGAGTGGGAGATGCGATCATAAGCTTTCGATAAGTCAAGGTCGGCCCCGTCAGTTCCGTCAGCACAGTCCGACAGCCACCCGGCGATGGCGCGGGGCGCAGAGCTGCCCTTCCCGTTCGCCCACTGGTCGTCGGGGGGGTCAGAAGCGGCGTCGGCAAGGGCTCGGAGCCATGTTCTGAGCACCGAGCCGACCACGATGGGCCCGGCGCCCGCCCCGCCTTTGAGAAGGCCTGCGACCCTCCACCCGAAGATCAGGCTGAGGGCGTTCTCGGGTAGCTGCCCACGAAGTCGGGCCGCCTCCTGGCTCGTGAGCACCGACAAGTTGTAGAGCTCGCGCGTGGAAACATCTTTGCAAGGATGCGTTGTTCACGGAACGTCCAGCCACCCAAGCCAGGGCAGCCCTTCGCCAACTTATTGTCTCCCAAGAACTCATAGGATGGCGTCCAGTCCCGTGGCCCCGAAGACTTCGGGAACGCAATATTATGTGCGCGCTGCTTCCAGGCGTCGAGGCGCGGAGCGTCGTCGTACTCGGGCGGGCCCCAGGGCTGCCTCCATTGCTCCCTCATCTCAGGCACATCACACGGTTGCGAGGGAAGTGCCGCCATGAATAAAGGAGTAATAAATCGCCAGATATCAGGAGACCACGCCGAGAGGCGCCGTCGGCACAGACTGGCGCTGTTCTGCTGCAGGCGTCGTCGCTCAACGTCGATGCCCGACGAGAGGGAGTTGAGTGCGTCAGCATAGCTCAGCAAGCCCGTCGCTGGTAAGTGGAGCAAGTGAGGAAGGTCATGTGCTGCCTTCGTCTCCTGTGAGTAGTGGTCGTTACGTAGTACGCTGGTACCCAGCACGCCCTGTCAAAGCTGCTCAGCGAGACGTCGATTTAGGCGTAGTAGGCGACGTTGTGCGATAGACTGGTCCAGACGGTACGCTGGTGAGTGCGTCGTGGCCCAGGTGGTCGGAGCGGAGCCTGTGCCGCGCTCGGCAGTGCGCTCCATCGTAGCACGCCCTCGCTTCACTGCTATTATAGCCAATGCATGTTCAGCTCTCTCGTGCCAATACCTCGACTGGGCTACCAGATCTGG